GGTAGTATTGACTTAATTGACTTACAAGTAAATAACAACAATTAATATATTATGATCAAGTATTATAATAATTATTAATTAAATATTGTTAGTTATTTTTGGTAAAAATTAGTTCAAAATTCCATATTACTGATAAAAAAATAAATCATAAATAGCAAAAATAAACTATACAATATTTTTAGAAATCTTTTGACTCACCGTCTCCGTTTAGAGTCGTTTTTCTTATTCAATGATTTCATTGAATTTAAATTTAAAACATACATTAAAGTGACCTAGTCAATGATGAGGTACCAACCATCTTGAGAGAATGAATGTTTTTTTGGATTACTCGCAGTTAGAATATACAAATATTCTAGCATATTCTAATATTATAGTGTAATATTATGTATATATATTTTAAAGGACGATTATAATAAAACAACACGGTTACTTATAAAGTGCTTTTAAATTAGTTTTTAAAGTTAGGTCTACCGATTGTTATGTAAATTAAAACCTTTTGTTTCAACTCTCATAAATATTGATTCCCAAATTAGAATCTTTAATCTACTACTTATATTATAAATAAACAAGAACCTCTGATATTTTAAGGACCAAATTAATAATGACGTATCAATTATGTTTAGGATGTGGGCGTATACTTCAAAGTTGGTACTAAAATTATTCATTGAAAAAAAGATAAAACTAGTTCTATTCGAATAATTTATAACAGTTTGGATACTAAACAGAATCGAAAATATTTAATAATGTAAGCTGATCGGTACTATTATACGTTATGGCGAAGTATAATAATATGAGTTTTCAAATAGAAATATAAAAATGTGTTTATTACATATTTACAAATATTAAGTTTAATGTACTAATAAATATTTAAAATGATCTGGTTCATTCGGGATGGTATACAAATATGTGATTTAACATTTGAATTATTACAATTTATTTTATGCAGAAGAAAAAAAGCTTTTACCGATTTCAATTAGTATGTAGATTGTAGGTACACGAGATTTTATTTCAAATGGTCGAGCTTTTGAAATTTATTTGATGTACCGTCATGGGAAATCAAAATGATCAAATTAAAAGAGAATAAATAAGCCGTTGAAAAATTGTCACAAATAACAACTGTGCATTACAATAACAGTATAACGTAAAAACAACCATCATGTTTACACTAATATTCCTACATTGAAGTATTTAAATTTCATAATTAGTTTGTTTGTTTAATTAATAAAAAAAACAACGTATAAAAGGTCTTTACACTACCTATTTAAAAGGGACTTTTTGAATTTATTTTATTTTAGCGTGATTTCAACTGGTTTTATTGGTTTGTTAGTAGTAAATACAACAGAATAAAATTTTTTAAATAATGTGTCCTTAAACTACCAAAGTTTCAGGAGCTGTATATCTCGCAAACAAAATAAATAAAAATAAAAATTCTTATGCATTATATTCATAAATGAAATGGTTTTATTCATTTAAGACCTTTTTATCATATGTCCCCATTTGAATATCAAAAGTCGATAGTGGTTTTACCAATAAATATAAGGGTGAAAAAAATTATATAATATAAGTAAATATCATAGGTAATTATATTGTGTTATTTACACGTGTATTTACGTAGACTGGTAATGGGTTTCATTCCATAGTGAATATAATATAGTGATAAGTCACACGTATAGTATCATTATTTTTGTTTTTATTTTCTGCGTACTTCTCGATATTTTGAAAACAACATTTTTTGTTAAATGAGTATGAACAAGATTTCCAATATTTCCCAACGGGGCCGTAGGATCTAGGATGTCTCCAAATTTAGTATCTACGTATGATTGAAATATTGGTGTTCTCAATTGAAATATAAAAACTGACTCTGCACACTTTCAAGCTTTTGTTGAATACTTGAATAACAATGTCCATTTTCTATTTGAAATATAAATCGCACATTATATTACATTTTATTATGATACCATTATCATTTCAGAATTTCATAAACTGAAACTGAATGCAGAATGGCATTATTAAAATAACATTTAACTGTAAATTATAAAAATAAAAAACTACACTTATAGTATAAATATGTCTTCGAAATGAATAAGAACAGCATAAATCATCTTAACAAATTTATTATTTATACATTTTTTAAAATTAGTGTTGTCTGAATAAATGTATACACAATTAATCGATTATGTTACATAATATAATACAGTTTTGAAAAAGCGATATTAAATTTAAAACTTATTTTATAATAAATAGAGTAAATTTTTGTGATTTCCTGAACATTTTGATTTATGACAACTTTTAAAGTTCTGCCCTTCGATTAGACTGGGTTAATACAGAAGTTGATATTACAAGACTGCCGGAGATTGTTTTTCCATAAATCAAGTTTTACACAAATCACATTAAACATTCATACAATTTTAATTTCCATTTCAAGATGATTGTATCAGTGGATCGCGGTAGCTTAATAATACTCATAATTTATTATAATATCTTATGCAGTATTTTTATGTACAAGTGTAACAAAATGAACAAGTATTTGCAAAAAATATCAAATGATACTTGATGCCTATATGAACCGTATAGACATTTATAAACCAGACAAAACTTATCAACTTTTATACTTTATTATTTAACTATTCAAAAGTTATAAAAATAGTTTCACATTTTTAAAATCCATCGTTAAACGAGAAATATTTTTTATTACCGGTCTCAAAGACTCAGCTAGTCAATCGCCTATTGACTCTATTAATCAACATTAATACTTATAGAACAATAAAGGTGAAAGTGATTTATTATTATAATTGTTTTGTAAGCTTTGAAAATTCGAAATTTAATTTTATGAAACAGCACGCTGATGGTTACTACAGGGCAGGCTGCATAAATGTGACTGTTTTCTCGTCCTCAATACACTTTGAGTGATGTTGTTTTAACAGTTTTTTTTATTTACTAAGAACACTTCATCCGGTTAAACTCCCGTATTGACGTGACCATCCTGGCATACTTTCGTACTTACTTGAAAACTTGGAATGTTAAGTTTGTTTAGCTAGTTACGTTGTGTGTAGCTGAAACAAAACAAAATGTACTTTTTGTTTGTGTTTTTTTTTCTCATGCTGATTTATTCTCGTATTTGACTATAAATATTGAAGCGAGCCTAATTTACTACAAAATGGGTGTACTTATACGACGAAACAAGTAATAAGAGGGCTTAATTCCACAAATCGATGGTTTGAATTTTCTTAATCATTTTAGTATCAATAAAAATTGAAAAGTGTCTTACAAACTATTAAAATTGCATTTATACATTTTTTATTAATTTATTAAAACATTTGTTTGACATAAAAACAAAAATATTAAAAACAAAAACAAAATATTATTCAGCTTATAAATTGACGTTTTTCGATGTATTTTATAACATTAGCACATATTAATTTGTGATCAATTTCATCTCATACGTATCATAAAAATGTATACATTAATACATTATGTGTCTTGTATGCATAATGCGTATATGATGTGTGTTATTTTACGAATTACTAAATCCAATACATTAGAACGGATGGTCATATTATATTCTTCCAAATTATTCAAGACTGTTTTTTCCGACCAATTTCAATGATTCAGATATTGTGTCTCTCAAAACTCGTAAACGCTATGAGTTTAATCATTAATATTATAATTTATTTTTAGTAGATCTATACTTCAATATTCTGTTAAAACAAAATAGTAAATACTAGAGATTGAAATTACGAATTGCAGTACTCATTGAAAGATAGAAGAAGTATATACTTTTTTTAATTATACCTTATGATGACTTAAAAAGTGTCAACATACTCGTAGTGTTGTTATTGTTGTTATTAATTTCAAGAAAAAAGGTATCGAAAAATATTATCGCTTGAAGTGGTAGTTATTTTGTATTTGTTGTTTGAAATCCAGTTAATTTCTACTGCCATTAGTCTTGTGAGAGAGGATCATTTTAGTGGACGTCTAGATATCGTCAAGTGCAGCCAGTCAACCTTTCGCGGCTTCCTTTTTTTGGTGATAAATCATATTATTATACATACGTTGACGGCAAATCGATTTTATTTGTCAATATAAACTCGTCCAAAAGTCAATTTTTATATATTTCGTAAACCTTCAAAAGTCGTCTAGCAGTAGGTATAGGCTCTTCGCGAGAGGCTTACGCAGGAAGGGATTCCGCATGACTTCCTCGCCCACATGACTTTTGCATCGCGATTTCCACGTCATCGTAAGTGTGTGATATAATTTATTGTTACTTCCATTTCCCAAGACAGCAGTGGTAAAGGGCATTTTTAAAAAATGCAACTGAAAGTTATCGTATCTGTAAGAAGTACAAAATATATTTATCGGTTTTCAAAAATGTTAATTTTTAGATTTTTCTTAAGAATACGCTACACCCGCACGTGTTGTTTACAAACGCACAACATACGGAGTAGAACCACCCAAGCTGTAGTCCAAGCTAAGCAATCAAATTTTCACACTATCAACAAAAGAACATTTACTGTGCAATATTGTTTTTTTTTTCAATATTATAAATACAAAAAAAGTTATTCAAGTTTGAAGTACTGAATTTTTAAACGATAAGACCTTTTTTGTATTTGTGTTATCGAAAGATTAAAAACAGTAAAATGTTCTCCTCTTTATTATGTGAACATTTGGTCGCTTATTTCGGGCTTCAGCCTGAGAGATTCTTACTCGCTAAAACAGTTTTTATTGCTATGTTTTGCAATTGTAAGGCGGAGACAACACGCATGCTAGTGTAGCGTCGTCTTGAGGTTAAAATAATTATTGAAATAAAAGTCGTTTCGCGCTTGTTCGTAGGAATGATATGGATGACGCGTGTGATAATGGTGTTTTTTTTATCTGTTATAGGGTGTGATCTTCTGATAATTTTTTTCTTAAAATGTAATTCATAACTGTATTATTAAAGCATGCAACTCAAGTGAATTGTTTTTAAGTAAAAACCATTATTTACTATTTTTGTTCTTTAGACACCAGAAATGAAGAGTATGATCGATGAAAACCTGGCTGAAAGCAAATCGTCTGCATACACTGGCCTCCTATTGCAAAACATTGGGATGTTGACCGGCGCTTCTCTGATGTACATCATCACGTTTTCAAATTTCATAAAAATTTTATGGTGAGAAAATAATATTAAAACGTTTTTACGTCCGTTTTTTCTCACCAAAACACGTGCTAAGTCTATAGGCCGCCGGAAGACATATTTAACCATAGTTGTGTGAATATGTATAAATACTAAATAGTAGTGGAGATATATTTTATATTTTATATTTTTTTTTCAGATACATTCATATTTCAATATTATGTATAAATTATAAATATTTATCGTACACTATCCTTTGGCGTCTGGTGGAGGGTCTTACGAAATTTGACTTATTTATATTATTTTAATCATCACTACTGCAACGTTTATTATACAATAATATTGCTTCAACTTTAAACATAATAACAACATGAAGAAGAAATTGATGGAATATGGTTGCCAAAATAAGATGGTAGTAAATAATTCATGTCTACATGTTTTCAATCGTCAAATATTTTATAAAGTTAATCTTTAACATATTTTTTATTCATTAATGTATATGTATTATGTAAAACTGCTTAGACGTCGTTTTGTGATAATTTATTAAAATCGAATGTAATCTAACTTCAAATACTTTTAATATCGTTGATTATTACAAAGAAATGTTTTATTTTATTTAAAAAATATATTATTATATTATCATTAATGTATAGGTACCTACCCATACTACCTAGAAAATAATTAATGTAAAATAATTTTTACGGTATATTCTGATTCTCCAGTTGTAACTTTGATTTTTTATATCAGACAACTTCGTTATAGTATTATGATTTTTATAAACAGTAACTTAATCATTTTAGAATTATTAAGATAGTTATAGTTTTATTTAAAATTTTTTTAGAATATTTTTTAAAAATATGTTCAGCTATAAGTACATTTATAAGATATTCATAAATTAAAATCATCCCATCTATTTTAATTTATTATTTATAATATCATTGTCGTGTTTTTTTTGTCTTTTATAATGATTTATTTTTTTGTTAAATTTATTTAAATATGTAGACGATCGAGTATTTCTTAAACCAAAAGGTTTCACCACATAGTATATCGTATAAACATAACACAAAAAGAAAACTTTTTTCAAAACTTAAACATGTGTATCGTTTTAACAACATTTTAGTATGAAAATTAAAGTTTTAAATTTGTTTCTTAATTTAAAATTTGCGGAATGGTAACTGCCTTGAAATTTGAAATGTTTCATATAAGACGACGTTAACTAAATTTAACCAGTCCGAGGCTGACAAAAACCAAATCCAGGAAAAAAATATTGTAATAAATCTTAAATGTCAAACACGCGCGTTTACTCCATAATTTAATTATCCAGCATTTTTAATTTTCTCAAAAATCTTTCATAATTTCATATTGTTTTTCATTTTAGCTTTATATGATACAATATTATAGTTAAATTATATAATATTTGGTCAACTCTGGCTTGAGCGTTTAAAACTTTAAAAGACGCATTGGTGGCTTAGAATTTCGACAACCTCCACAGAATCCTTTCACTTTGAGCTAGAGCTTGTCCCATTTACCCCTTAATCCGGGTATCGAAAAGTTAATACTTTTGTAAAATCTTAAGTTACATACATTATGTATGTATAATACGGATACGATCGACTTTATTTTTTAGAACTAATCATTTGATGTATTGATTTGATTTCAAAGTATTTTGCCTTTCATGCCGCTGGACAATAATTCAGAAATTAAATGTAACCACAAGTAAATTTAACATTTTTAAACTTTAAGATATTCCATCTAAAATTGTTAATTTGTGAGATTGATTAGAAATTAGAATAATACATGTAATGTATTTAATTTTAAAACCTTAGTTCAATATATTATTTTTATTCTATGTTGATTTTTAAACTGTATGTAATTTATTATATTAAGTATTTTATCAACAGTATGTACATAAACTGTATAGTGTATAATTAAGTTCATTGTATTAAATATTATTTTAAGATAGAATTTTTAGAATGTGAAGCTGTGCCAATCAAAATATTTATTAGTAAACATTTAAATTTATTTAATATTTTGATAAATATTTGGACAAATATTGGTATTGATTCTTGTACAAAAATCGTATTGTTTTAAAAGTTTTATTGTTTTAGAGGTATATCATCATTATATTATATTAATTTATATTTTATATTGAATATTATATTTTCACTAACCAAATTCAATTACATAATGTCATATGCTTATCAATGCAGGTACATTTCATTTCTGCACATGCAAGAAACTATAAAATACTTGGTATCTTTAACGGTTGCTATTCAACTTGTCCAGTGGCATACACAGGAAGGCCAAAAGGATGAAGTTCCACTCCCATTGCAGTATTATTTCTTTTTTTCTGATGTTAAATTTATTATTATCAATAGTCATGAGCAGGCCATCGACACCGAGAGGTTTACTGGCTTGGCCGAATCTGGCCATGTTTACGGTGTTTGGGTGAACAAAAAGTTAAAACCTCTGCAGGTTTGTGCTCGTTTCCAATTTTCTTGGAGGTTCAGACTTCAGATCAAAGGTAAACAAAATCTCGATATGGCTGATTGAGTGTTATTTCTATATTATTATTATTCAGTGGTATAAAGATGGTATATTTATATACAGGGCGTCCCAAAATGATTCATCCGATTTTAGTAGACTTAAATATTGTTCCTGTAATTTGAGGTAAACGTAGCACCGACCATCTGAAAGGTGGGTTTATCGAGTTTTTATCGATTGCCGATAAGTCGCGATAATGTGCAGTCTAGTCATGTAACGATCAGCTACCACAGCAACGGATCGGTCGCTGTAGTGCTAATGACGCTACATTTTGTCCGTGGCCGCCCCGTTCGCCGGATCTTAAAATCTGTGATTTTTTTTCTCTGGAGTTACATAAAAAGCATTGTTTATGTACCTCCTATTCCAAAAGATCTCGACGAATTGCAAAGTCGCGTCACAGAAGCCATCAACTTGATTACAGACGACATGCTTCAACAGGTTTATGAGGAATTTGAATATCGCCTACATGTGTGTCGTGCAACTGTGCAAGTAAGGGGGGGGGGGGTCACATTTAACATTTATAAGCATTGTATCAAAAACTTAAAATAATCCATTCAAATGTAAAATGTATTCTAACATGATAAATCAAATTTTACAATAAATATGATTTTTTTGAATTCGGATGAATCATTTTGGAGCACCCTGTATTATATAAAAATAAAACGATGTAAAGCGTTTTAGAACAGTTTCACTATTGACACGGTACGCGGCAGCAGCCAGTACAAAGTACAGGCACCGCCGTGTCCGGTCTACGACTTTATCAACCACCACCACGGGTGACTACGACGCGACACCGTCGACTCTCCCTCCACGCCGCAAAGGCTAGGTGGGACGGGAAGACAAGTCGCGCTGGACAAGCACCGGCCGGCGGCGACGGGGCCTCTCTCTCGTTCAACGACCGTCGATGCGAATATACGCCACCGTCTCCAACCACACCAAAAATCCACATACACTTTATTTATACCAGACATTGTTTCGTGTTCGACCATTTTCTTGTGAATACCGTATACACCATTAAACGTGTTCATTTCACTACCGTGATCGTCAAATTGCGTGTTGTTTTCTTTTTTTTCATCAAACCTCACCTCCAGACCGGCTCACCGTGATACACTATATCGCCGTAGCCGCGTCACTATAATATCCATCATTTACCAGCATCCTATAATATAATGTTAATACATTTATCAATACCTACTATTTATAGTACTGTATATAGGATAATAATACGTAGAATCTAGATTATTAATTTTAAGTATCTTACTTTTCCACTTCGTATAATAATAATGTTTGTCATAGTAAAACAATAATATTTTTTAAATACTTTACCAAAATGAATGCAATTATTAGACTGGACAAAATTAAAATAAAAGTTGTATTTTAATGTTTTTATTTTTATTGCTTGAATGTTATTTTTTTTCATATATTTTTAATAGTTGGTATCCTGGGTCTCATGTAAGAGTAACAGGTGGCCACCGATTTTCTTCCGGTTCGGGTCAGATCAGTTTGAGACCACACCCATTGATTATATCAGTTTTCGTTGTCAGGCGTTAACTGTCATTTCTGACAATCAGCTGTGGCCAAAAGAAGTTTTATCGTGTAATCATAGCAAAATACATGCGTGGTTATTGTAATAATAAACTGACGTTCCCAAGAATACTTTCCGACGTCATTTCAGCACCTTAGTGAAATATGTTGTACATTTCTGATTGTATACGTTATATACTATTGTAGCTCGATAACAAAACATTAATTCTAATGATTAATATTAATTATAGATTACTAATTATGACGCTACTTATAATTACTTATCAAATACATTAAGGCCTCGATAGTTATACACCCATACTAATAACGAAATAACACTTTTCGAAACAGTTAATATTATCCTTTTAAAGGTGAACTCCGTGAGTATGTGTACCTACATCTACATCAAATTATTGTAACGTAATCAAAATATCTAAATATTTAGTCACATGTTTTGATTAAAACATTAATTGTTAGCAAAAGCATCAGATAATTTCGATATCAGAGCCTGGAGAAGATCTTGAGTATGAGAAAAAAAGAGGAGGAAAGCGGTAAGAAAATACTTGTACTTACATACAGGAGTCCAGCCACTCTCATTGCCGCCGCCTTGAGCAGAAGCCTACAACTTAAGGTTACTCTTATATGAGACAGAGTATAGTATAGAACAATAAACTACTATAATATATCAATATAGAAGAAGCATATGCTTTATTCCTTCAAACTCAATCTCGTGTTAAAAACTGTTTATTTACTTATATGTGATTGGGAGAACAAAATATTAAATGTATTTAAATTTGGGAATCCATTTGACATTGTTTTGAAATTCCTTAAAATATTACTATATACTTGAAACTTGAGTATGAAGTATAAAATAAATTATTTAATTTCGCGTAAAAAATTTCATACTATGCATTATTCGTTCAATACTTAATATACACACTATTATAAGAATAATTGGTAGGTGCATAATACTTTGGTGGGGAATCAAAAAGATTGTCAATGTATGCAGATATTAAATAGTTTTTGGTACAAAATTCATGAAAAAAAAGTATTAAATAAATACTTTAAAAAACTGTTTACCTACAAAAAAGTTATTCAAATCGCTTTATGTTAAGATATTTTAAAATCGATAAATATTATATAATGTTTAAAATTAAAATCAAATGTTTCGATACCGACCGTTTTTGAGGAGTTCAATAATGGCAATTTTTGAAGTGCGTGTGTGGGTCATGGAAATGTGTAGTGAGTGATCATTAGTGTTAGATACTGT